AATCATCACAATTATGAGAAATCACGGCTTGAACTATCTTGCTTTGCATGTAATGAGTCTATCTCATATATTAGTTTCACCTTTTAAGTTGCATTACTGAAATAAATGAACTTTTGCACGATATTCTAATTTTTCGAGTTTCACCTGTATATGTGAACAAACATGGAGAAAAAATATTTAGGGTAATATTTTAAAAAATGTTTTTTTACTTCTTATGTGCATGCAAATAAAAGGAAAAATAAAGCAAAGTGTTACTCCAAAATCCCTACCAGACCCTTATCCAAGCATGTAACCTGAACCATACCAGGTCAGGTGCCCTCAACATGGAGAGGATACCTTGTCATGGGAGAACCCCTGGCAAAGCACCTTGTCCTCATGTTGATGGCCCTGGTAGTTGTGGGGGTCTGGGGTCGGGGGACCTTTTGGAATCTGGATTTTTTGCCATGTTTTTTTCATTTGGTGGCTGAGCATGTTGACAGGCATTGTTCATTGCGATTATGATCTGCATTGCTGGACAATGTGATTGGCAGTGGATTTACATCATGGGACATTTTTGAGTTGTGTAACTTGTTAAGAACTTGTTAAAAGTGTGTGTGCTTTTTCTTTACATTTTTAAATACTTTTCATTGCATGTTTGTGTCTTTATTTACTAATTCTTTTTTCGTGAATGAGCAGCCCTTACTCATGAATGGGGGGGTGTAGTATCTGGGGGCCTCCTTATTTTTAAGGGGCTTCCAGATTCTGATACACCCCTTGCCCAGGGACACCTACAAGTACCAGGCCAGGGTTATGGGGAAGAGGAACTTGTTTTCATCAATATGGGGAAAAGATGCTTTCCAAGAGGGGTCCTCCCTGGCAAGGTACCTTCCCCATGTTGAGGGCTTATGGCCTAGTATGGTTCAGGAAAGAGATGGCCATATGCTCCCCCTCCCCCTTTCCTGTCCAGCCAGGCTGTATGCTTGGATATGGGTCTGTGCACATCTAGACTTTGCAATATTCGCCCTCTCTTCTTTGCAGACCTGCTCTAGTTCAGCTAAATTTGATGGTAATCGTTTGTGGACTGCAGTCTTCTAGTCATTCCACAGATTTTTAATGGGATTTAAGTCTGAGCTCTGACTAGGCCATGCAAGGACATTCACCTTTTTCTCCTTCAACCACTGTGGGGTCATTTTTTCTGTGTGTTATGGGTCATTGTCATGTTGGAAGGTAAACATTCTTCCCATTGACAACTTTCTGGCAGAGGGCAGCAGATTTTCATTAAGAATTGGACGGTATTTTGCCCCATCCATTTTTCCTTCTATCCTGATAAGTGTTGCAGTCCCTGCTGCAAAGAACCCCCCCCCCCCATAATGGGATATTACTACCTCCATGCTTTACTGTAGGAATGGTGTTATTTGGATGGTGAGCTGGTTTGGATTTCCGCCAGACATTTCCGCCACCTCATCTGACCATAACACCTTTTTCCATGTGGCCTCGGAATCTTCAAGGTGTGTTTTGGCAAAGCACAGTAATGACTGCATGTGGCCTTTCTTGAGTAGTGTCTTTTTTCTTGCACCCCTCCCATACAAGCCACATTTGTGGAGAATTTGTGATATTGTTGTCAAATGCACACAATGACCACTCTTTATCATCCATTCTTGCAACTACTTCAGAGTTGCTGTAGGCCTCTTGGTAGCATCTCTGCCCCCCTTCCCCCTGGCTCTTTCATCCAGTTTGGAAGCAACAGCCTGATCCAGGGATGGTCTGTGTTGTACCAAGTACCTTCCACTTCTTAATGATAGAGTTCATTGTGCTTCTAGGCATTGATAAAGACTTTGACATTTTTTGTATCCATCTCCTGACTTGTGCCTGTCCACAACTTTATCCCGGAGATTTTTTTGACAGTGTCTTACCACCCATAGTTGAGTGTTTGCTTCAGTTACACTACCCGGGACTGAAATGCTCCAGGAAAGCTCTTTTCATGCTGAGCTACTCAAAATGACCACAGCTGATTACAGCTGAAAGTCAAATGGCTTTGTGTGCCATTGAGAAGGTGATTAGCTACACCTGATTGAGTTTACAAGTCATTTTTAGGAGAGAGGTGAACACTGATTAACTACACTGAGTAAATACAGCTGGACAAAACAAAAACTGTGTCTGTCTTCATTTCAGGCTGCAAACCAACAAAATGTGATTATTTTAAAGGGGGGGGGGGGTGATTTTTTTCTCTACTCACCGTAGATACCATGCAACATTGTGTTACAATTTAAAATTATATACTTATAAATATGTCCATATTACTTATAGTGATTTTGTCCAGAAAAAGAACGTATAACCTATTGGCTTGTAATCAGACTTAGATAAACCTTATGACTTGCAATATAGGGGGGGGGCTACCTACAGGCAGATGATGGAGAAGGGAGTCTCCACTGTACCACCATCTTCCAGGAGGGACTGCCTGAGCAGCAGGGAAGGAGCCAGCCCAACAGAAGGCCTGAAGGCAATCACCAACCCATTAAGCTATCAAGAAGGACAGTGTGTGAGTAACCTTACACCCCCTGGGCTGGATGTTAGAGGGCCATCAAGTGAAGAACCAAACTAGCTCCTCAGCTGGGAATGTTTAAGTTGGCAGTTTATGGGTCCCCTTGCTCAGGGAATACCCTCAATACAGCTGGGTGAAGAGGAGGATTCATCTGAGGGCTGCGGAGGTTCACCAGAGAGCTGGCATGCTCTCAGAGGAGAGACATTCTTTTGTTTTTATCCATAGACTTGTACATAGTTACTAAGGAGTTGTCCTTGCAGTTCACATTTCCTTGGGAATCCCATGCATCCCTCAACCCCATCCAAGTTCAATATCCCTTAATAAAATCACAAAAAAAAACCAAGCCTAAGGACTGGTTGCTGTCTCCAGTGTGCAAGTGTGGAGGAAGGAAATATGAGTTGTCTTGGCTGTGCAGAACTATAGGGGGACTCAAAACTCAGCAACCCCTAAGGGGGTAGTGCTACAGGTGGTTCATGGTTTGCTACAAAAACTGGAACCTGGCCTAACGGGGATGGGATATATTTTGGAGGGGACTTCCTGCCTTTCCTTTTATTTTTGCCATTGTGTCCAGTCACCTGAAGATGCCAGTGAAGGAAGGCCGAGGGCTGGGCCCACAGATTCAGAGGGTACACGATGCCACAAGACACAGACAGCGGTTCTTTTAAAACAATTACGTTTACTGAACAGTTATAGTGATCATGTAGTTGAGCATACGTAAACAGAATGATAACAGCGCATAACCATACAGTAAGAATAATACTGTCTAACACTAACCCCGTACTCGCGGACTTTTCCCCAATGTCCAGAAAGCAGCCTGGCTGCGCCTGAATGTTCCTGAGCAAGATATAACGTTGGGGTGCACCCTAAGTATTGCGCAATACTATTTGTAATCCAAAGGAAAGTGGAGTGTGTCTCTTGTAACTTTCTGGTATATTCAAAATGTCACTGACCACGTGTGGTGCGATGTGCTGCGGCAAAGCCGCACTTACGGTTCTCTGGCAGGCTCTTGGTGCTTTCTCCTGACCCACTCCGGAACCGGACCATACAGTCACTTGTTTCCTGGTATCGTTGTGAATCTTCCTTAGGTGCCCTCGCCAGATTCCACTGTGAGCCGTAAATCCTCTTCCAGGCCCCACACAGATTCTCCAGACATCCTCAGCATCCAACAGCCAGACCCAGACTCCACTTCCTCCTCAGAACAGGAACTCCTCCCCTTCCGATAGAGTTTGTGATGCAGTAAGTCATTTCTTAATTGCAGCCTCAAACCTGCATTTACAGTTCACTATGACCCTTCTGAGGGTCCTACTCGACCCCTAAATTAGTATTCATTAAACTTTATAGGGTAAATAAGCATTTATCTTGTCTTAGCAAAAGTCACTACAAAATCGATTCTTGTACTTTGCTGCCATCTACTGACCAAAGAGCATATTGCAGTTTAACATTACACACCAGTATTAATCCATGCGTCACACCCTTACACCAGCATACCCCTATCTTTATAAAAATTGGAAGATGCTCTGTGTCCCGTGATGTACTCATATCACAGGTAACAAAAAATATGACTGTAGAGGGGGGCATGGTCTGGCGCTCAGCGAAGATGGCTGCTTGAGCAGGGAGCTCCGAAACAGCAGGGGGATCTCTCTGCTTTTTTGCTGCAAACTCCAACAATATCGGCAACATCGGTTGAGCCCTAAATTTTACCAAAATGCCACACTCACAACTGGAGCACAACCTCCCACAAATCTTTGGGCACAGCCAGGGGCGGACTGACCATTTGGAAACTCTGACACTGCCCAAGGGCCCGGGGTCAGTAGGGGGCCCCATGAGATGCCCCTGCTACCTTTTTCATAGGCTTTTTTGAGTTTGGGCAAGGACACAGGGGCCCCATGATCCCCTATTGCCCGGGGGCCCCATGAGTTGTCAGTCCGCCCCTGGGCACAGCCTTCAGCAACCCCCGAAAACTCTCCCTCGTGTTTCTCTCTGTCCGCCGTGTTTTGCAAACATGCAGACCACACGACAAGAGCCAAGAGCAGGATGGATGTGGATAGTATCCTGGAACTGATACAGCAAATACCTGAAATGTCGGACTAAGGCTGGCCATACATTATACAGTTTTCTTGAGGATTTTGTTTTAGATTTACCAAAAACCATATAATATGAGGTCAAACCCAGAGGCGGACTGACCATTTGGAAACTCAGGCACTGCCCGAGGGCCCGGGGTCAGTAGGGGGCCCCATGAGATGCCCCTGGTACCTTTTTCATAGGCTTTTTTGAGTTTGGGCAAGGACACAGGGGCCCCATGATCCCCTATTGCCCAGGGGCCCCATGAGTTGTCAGTGCGCACCTGGAAACCTATACATTTTCAGTTGTATCCAAGTAGGCAGGCCCTTGTACTACATAGTTGAAGGTAAATCTAAAGGGAATTGGGCAGAAATTGGACAGAAAATGGTATAGTATGTGGCAGGGGCGGACTGACAACTCATAGGGCCCCGGGCAATAGGGGATCATGGGGCCCCTGTGTCCTTGCCCAAACTCAAAAAGCCTATGAAAAAGGTACCAGGGGTATCTAATGGGGCCCCCTACTGACCTCCGGCCCTCGGGTAGTGCCCGAGTTTCCAAATGGTCAGTCCGCCCCTGGTATGTGGTCAGCCTTAGAGTCTATGTTGGTTGTGTAATATACTTTAATACATCATCAAACTGCTGACCTCTGTGGCTGTGCTACCTAACATAGGCCACTAGCAGGTGGTAGTACTCTATAAGATAGGCAAAGTACGATATATACGGAAATCGAAAGGATAACATTTCAAGCTGGTAGGTGATTTAACCTTCTAATGGGAAATCAAATGTAACTTATGGGTGGACGGATCCTTTTATTTTGTGTATCCCTTGGTGCTGTTCCACACAATGATTTGCTTCTTGACCATCTTCCATACAAAATCAAACAAGGTTACTAGTTTTGGATGGAATTATTCTTTGAAAGAGTGCAAAATACACTTGTTAAAACTACAGTTTCTCGTAGTTTTTGGCCGTGGAACCCAAAGGTACAGATTGCAAGAATTCTGAAAAGGTTTTGCAGATTGTAGCACATCTGTAGATATTGAGATAGGCTGTTCAAGTCAGCTTCCTGAACGTGAGTGCTAAGGGGGAGAATCTGCATATCATAGTTAATTACAGGCGTACCTCGGTTTACAAATTTAATGCGTTCTGCGGGGCTTTTTGTATTGCGAAAAATTCATAAACCGAAACGCGGTTTCCCATAAGAATGCATTGAAAACCAATTAATCCGTTCCGGAGGTCAGAAAAAAGTAAGAAAAAAGTATTTTGTCTGTTCAAAACTCTTTATAAAGTTCACTTTAAAGGCATAAATACTGTACAGGGACATGATTAAAAATGAATTTGTAAATGCATTGAAAACCAATTAATCCATTCCGGAGGTCAGAAAAAAGTCAAAGAAGTTTTATCTGTTCAAAACTCTTTATAAAGTGCACTTTAAAGGCATAAATACTGTACAGGGACATGATAGAAAAAAATCGTAAATGCATTGAAAACCGAGCCTTTATTTTCATTTGTAAACCAAAAATTACGTTAACCGGGGCGTTCGTAAACTGAGGTACACCTGTAGTTAGTCTGGCTGAAAAAAGACAAAAGTCCATCCAGTTCAACCATTAAAAAACAAAAGTTATAATCCTATAACCACAGTTGATCCAGAGGAGGGCAAAAAAACCCAGCAAAGCATGATCCAATTTGCTCCTGCAGGGGAAAAAATTCCTTCCTGATCCCCCGAGAGACAATCGGATATTCCCTGGATCAACTTTACTTTCTATCCAGTTATATTCTGTGTATCCAAGAAAGAATCCAGAACTTTCCTACAGCAATCCACTGAGCTGGCCATAACCAACTCTTGAGGGAGTCTATTCCACATTTTCACAGCTCTCACTGTGAAGAAACCTTTCTGTGTTTGGAGATTACATTTCCTTCCCTTCAGACGTAAAGAGTGCCATGATTATGTGATGTTAGATATGTAGAGAAACATTTTATCTCTACCCCCCAACATCTTTTTAAATGGGCAGACAAAATATTTGCAAGTGAATCGCTTTGCCTTACTTGAAAGGAAGAGAAATACAGCTTATTGCTATGTCTGAAGCAGGGGCGGACTGATCATTGGAGCACTCGGGTACTGCCAGAGGGTCCGGGGTCAGTAGGGGGCCCTATGAAATGCCCCTAGTACCTCTCATAGGCTTTTTTGGGTGTGCTTTGGGTGTGGGCAAGATGATCCCCATGAGTTGTCAGTCCGCCCCTGGTCTGAAGTCATATTAAATATTATATAAACCATATATTCACAGCGCAAATGAGATGTAAAAATATATTAAAAAGGGTGCAGCGAGGAGGATCGGGTGAAACGCTCGTTTCATGTGATTTACAGAAACATTTAACAGTTATTGTGGATATTTGGAAATGCTTTCATTTATTTCATGTGACTTCAATACTTTCTACCCAATAAATGGTTTTTAATGGATTATGAGTTTTCTTTGACATCTTTCCTTGATTACGTAGCAGGGGCGGACTGACAACTCATGGGGCCCCTGGGCAATAGGGGATCATGGGGCCCCTGTGTCCTTGCCCAAACTCAAAAAAGCCTATGAAAAAGGTACCAGGGGCATCTCATGGGGCCCCCTACTGACCCCGGGCAGTGCCCGAGTTTCCAAATGGTCAGTCCGCCCCTGTTACGGAGTGTAATAGTTTGGAGGATGTCCCGCCATCATATCAGTCTCTAATTGATGAAGGGCTGGTTTATTGATGATCTGTACTACGCTGACACTCACCATAAGTCCTCATGCACACGGGACGTTTTTACAGCTCATATTTTGGCTTTTGATGGTTTTTTCTACAGCCAGTAAACCCCCCAGCATGTTATCCTATGTGTCCATGCACACATAGACTGGAATCAACGTTTTTTGGCTGGGACTTTTTTTTTACTGGAAAAAACCCCAGGACCAGTGGGTTTTTGTAACGGAACCGACCCAGTCTGTGCTTGGGTACTTCTGTTAGAATACCGCTTCCCCATCCAAACACCGACCACAGACACCACAGCCGCCCATACAAGACTAATTTATTTGAACACAGATACAATATATATACACTTAGGGAGCAATCCCCCCTCCCTGCATAATGTCACAGGGCGGGGCAATCTACATTTAGTAACAAGAGACACACAGGTATTTAAACTTCACACCAGCAGACAGTCCCATCAGGAGGGAGGGCTGCTGGAGACACCCCCCACCAAGCTACTACACATAAACACATACATCCCATAATAGTTTGCTCCCAAGCCAGACAAACAATAGAACAATGGGATGCAGCCACATAACATTAAACAATCAACAACCCCCACCCCACCTATCTCCTAGACATGTCTACACAATATTAGGACAGATCACCCTGAACCTCTAACAGGCACAGGGTGACTTACACATAAGAGGGATATGGGGAACTGAGACAGGGGTCTCCCCACCTCTCTAAAGTGAGCTGGGTTCCATGGGCCCCCCACCCAAAGTGACTCCCGTCACAGGTTTCTAGAGGAGTTTCTTAGCTGTAAAAAGGCTCTAACGCTGAAAAAACTCAGCAAAATGCAGTAATTTGTAATATCGTCCATATCATCACAACTACTTTGTACATCCGGGTGGATTATACCGCGTTTTTTCAGGACAAATTGGGCTTTCATTTGGTGGTAAATGGTAATGGATAGCTCCTGATTTTTTTTATTATCAAAGGAAAAGTAGCCCAAAATAGTAAAAAAAAAATTGTTTTATTTAGCTGTGTGTTTCTCGTTTGTACCATAACCTACCACCAAAGAACAACCCAAAATAAATTCTCCAGCTCTTGACGATCGCAGCGATACCATATATGTGTATGTTATTTGTTGTTTGTACCCATAGTACAGCCCAGAAACAATAGTGCGCATTTTGTTTTTGTCTTTTTTTTTTTTACCTAAAACACACTGACACTAACTGACACTGATACCAATTTGTTTTTTTAAATCCTGACCTTTTGACCTTTGACCCTGACCTTGACCCAAACCCTGGCACTGAACTAGATCAAACTTTGATCTAGGCATTTTTTATTTTATTTTTTAATATTTATTTATTTATCTTTTTTTTTTGTTCAAACATTTTTTTTTTCTCTGTATGCTAGGAGTTAGAGAGATACAATGTATAATAGAATGTATATAATGATACAATGTATAATGGAATGTATATAATGATACAATGTATAATAGGATGTATATAATGATACAATGAAAGTAGATTTCAAGCCAGGCATGAGAATATTCCATAATGTCGTGATCCTCTCCTTGCTTGCTTGCTTAAAGGGAAGCTCGAAGGTGGATCCTAACATTCTACATCCTGCTGTATCCTCATTACTACCCATCAAACTGTTGGGAGTCACTTTGGGTGGGGGGCCATGGAACCCAGCTCACTTTGGAGAGGTGGGGAGACCCGTCTCAGCTACCATATCCCTATTAAGTGTAAGTCACCCTGTGCCTGTTAGGGGTACAGGGTGATCTGTCCTAATATTGTGTAGACATGTTTAGGAGATAGGTGGGGTGGAGGTTGTGGATTGTTTGGTGTTGTGTGGCTGCATTCCATTGTTACATGATCAGTGACACCGAGGTCTGTGCAGCACGCTGTGCAGCGTGTTCCCAGCACAAAGAAGGTACGCCAACATGCGGCCCCACGGAAAAAAGGACAGTTCCGTGAGGCCGCATATTTGTGTGATGTCGGCGTCAAGGGGTTAAATATTATACTAAATTGTTATTAATCATTAAATTACAGAATGGTACTTGTGGATATAACACACTGAGGTTTTATATGTCATTTTCTTTTTTAAAAAAACTGAAAAAAGTGTGGCAGAATAGCTGCATTTTTCTAACAAGTGAGGCCATAGTGTTTTCATGCTATCACCTGCCTTCTTAACTATACAAATAAAAACTAATGCCCTACCCCACAGGTGTTAAACTGGTGACCCTCCAGCTGTTGCCAAACTACAAGTCCCGTGAGGCATTGCAAGACTGACAGTTACAGGCATGACTCCCAAACGCAGAGGCATGATGGGACTTGTAGTTTTGCAACAGCTGGAGGGCTGCCAGTGTGACACCCCTGCCTTACCCCATTCCTGGATTCAACTGTCTAGTCCAGGGGTGTCAAACTGCAGCCCTCCAGCTGTTGAGGAACTACAAATCCAATGAGGCATTGCAAGGCTGACCGTTATAAGCATGATTCCCAAAGGCAGAGGCATGATGGGAAGTGTAGTTCCTCAACAGCTAGAGGGCTGCAGTTTGACACTTGAGGGTTTATTTACTAAAGCTGGAGAGTCCAAAATCAGACTCACTTCTGCATAGAAACCAATCAGCTTCTAACCTCAGCTTGTTCAATGAAGCTTTGGCAATGAAACCTGGAAGCTGATTGGTTTCTATGCAGAAGTGAGTCTGATTTTGCACTCTCCAGCTTTAGTAAATAAACCCCTTGGGGTCTAGTCCATCCACATTAGTGGAACATGGACAGAGACTCATTCCTCTGTCATTACAATACCATTGGTGTACCTCAGCTTAAAGTCTGGTTTACCCTGGAGATTAGGACCGTGTTCATGTACTCGTGTTGGAGTGGAGGACTCCACCATCACATTCTTCCCGGCCGGCCGCGGCACAAGGAAAGGAAGGTGCACTGTGATGTAAGGGAAGGTGGAGGACTCTTATCTTCTCAAAGTGGGAGGGCTCTTGACATCTGATGTAAGGAGGGGGTTCTCTGGACATCTAGTCTTACAGATACAACCAACCCTTCAAGGACAACTATAATGCTGATGCTGCCCATGAAGAAATTGAGTTTTACACCCCTGCAATACAGCCTAGTGCTCTGGTGGATTCTCCAGAGAAGTACTTATGGCTGAAGACACTAGTAGCTTGGCTGAAAGATTTAGCACAGCTCATGGGTGTCAAAATGCCTGATGGAGTCCATGAAAGGAGTATGTATACCCATTGGGGGACAGATGTTCCAAAAAATTAAAAGGTAATTGGACTAGTATTTGCAGTACTTCATCAAAAGGATACATGGGGTATATTTACTAAGCTGATCATTTGTCATTCCCTGTGTCCCGTTCCTGGGCTAATACAAAAGCAATATACAGTATTACCCACTAAGTGTAGTACTACCCCCTTGCTGAAGATTTGGGTCCTCCTATAGTCCTGCACAGCAGGCGACACGTAATTCCTTCCAGCCTTGCACTCCAGAGACAGTAAACAGTCCTTGAACTTGTTTTTTTTTTTGCATTTTATTAGGGGATTTAAACTTGGATGTGGATGAGGGATGCATGGGATACCCAAGGAACTGTTAAACTAAAGGCAACTTCCTGGAACTGTGTACAAGTGCTCAGAAGGGTTTATCCTCTTTGAGGAGCTCTCCGGGCTCTCCTGGTGTAGGAATCCCTGGATCAGAGGATCTAGAGTCTGACACTTTAAAAAACACAGTTCAGCTGGGGCTAGTCAGGTTTCCCACCCAAATGCCCTCTCCCCTACTCCTGTCCAGGGGGTGTAGAAGTACTCACTTTCCCTCTTCTGCAAACTGCAGGTTGGTAGCTGCTTTCAGGCCTTCTGCTGGGCTAGCTCCTTCGTTAGCTCCACAGATTGTCCTGTCACAGTGGGCTGGTGAGGTCCAACTGTCCTCATTTCAGCTCCTCTCTGGAGGCAGGCCCCTTCCTTGGGCCTCCTCACAGGCTCCCCACTTCAGTTCCTTCTCTCACACCTTACACCCGAACTCCTCCTACACTGAGCAGGCTCAGCTATGCTTAAAGGCTGTCCCAACCTCTTGCCAAGCCTCCTGCTGGGGAATGGTTGAGATCCTTTAGGCATACAGACCAGCCACTCCTTACCCCCACCCACTGAGTTCTAGAGACTTCTCCAAGTCTCTAGATCAGGGGGAGGTCTTAGAGATATACAGAGCCTCACAGCCCTGACTAAAATTTGACCCCTCTGAATATCTTCTCTGGCTGCTACCCAGCCTTCTAACTACATAAATAATTAACTAGCTCCCCCTAGGTTACCTAGAAGAGTGCTACATAGGAAATTTCTATATATCACTTTCTTTTAGGTCAATGCCATCACAGTGGGTGGGGACTTCCACCCCCTAACTCCCTGAATCATTATATTCAGGAGTCCTCTTGGATCCCCTTGGTGTGTGCACGCGCATTATTTATAGTAGCTCCAAGTGGGCCATTTATGGCTGCCATCTGCAGGACAACAGAGCCGAGAGATCTTCATTTATATTTTGTGACCTGTGATTATACAACTGTCACAGACATGGGGCTGAAGGAGAACCAAAGCTCAGGGAGAACTCTGTGTTTGGTTATGTTTTCAAGTTATCCAGAAAGAACGATCATTGTAACATATGGCTTCCTATATATAATGTATTCCTACGTGGGAGCTGGACTGTCTGGAGTGGGCATTGTCTGTCATAATGTGATTAGTTCTTATCTGATGGTTTTCTGTATAAATTCATTGTGTTTCTCTAATAAAGCAGTTTTTCTTGTTTACTCCAAAAATTGGTGTTGTCTAGTTATTTGGGGTAGCTAAAGCTATAGTCACTTGCCTCGTGTTCCAGAGCTTGGGGAGCAGATTTTTGGTGGAGATACCCATCCTGGCTTGCTCCCTGGCTCTTCCTGTCAGAGCCTGGGATCGAACCTGGTCCTTCAGCAGTGGGAGGCAATGTCTCTTTATGTAGGGGAACCCAGGAAGGCAGGTCGCTGGACACAGGATTTCCAGCAGCAGGCTGGGAATCA